AGCTTCGATTTAATGTACGCACACAACTTTGACCTACTTTTGATTCAAACAATTCCTTATCCGCATCTAGGCTCATTTTGTGCAAAAATCTCCCCCGTTCGGACGTAAAACCTCCACTGGGCTTTCTGACGCTTTCAACTCTCGTTCATGACAAGAAGACGGTAATGCTCTTTTTGCAAGCCACGGAGTGATCCATCAGCTACGTTTATGCAACAATAACCACCAAATGTCACTTTCAACTGTCTCTGACGGGTGGATGTGTAGTGCCCGACAGTGTCGGCAAGAAACCGGTCTTTGAAAGGGAACTTGACTGGAGCGGTCTAGGATGCTGCTCCGAAAATTCGGCAGCAATTAAATTCTGCTCAGAGGGGTTATCTATTCAGCCACACGAACGCTGTTGACTGGAAGAACTTTCTTCGCGAAGTTTGCTCCTGGCGGTTTTTGCAGATTCCAACAGTTATCGGCGACCCTGGTCTACACGTTGAGGTCGATGGAACGCTAATATATTGCCGTAAAAACCCCGCAGGGTGAGTCCTTTCCCAACAGTGGACTTTCGGAGGGATCTGCCAGGAAACTAGGGAGGTGTTCATGTATGTAGTGCCAGATCGAACTGCGGCCACTTTGATGGACACAATCCAGGCCTGTATCGCTCCCGGCTCTATCATCATCTTCGATGGACAGACATCATACCAAGGAATTGAAACGATAAATGATATGAATCATACCTACGAAACGGTTAATCATACCGAAAACTTTGTGGATCCAACGACTGGAGCTCACACACAAACCATCGAATCTCTTTGGCACGTTTACAAGGTGCCGAATAAATGCCAATACGGCACACACCAATCTTTAGCAGACACCTACTTATGTGAGTTCGTTTGGAGGCGAAGTTACCGAAAAACGGAACTTCTCGTGCAAATTATTAATGACACGTCCCAGTTTCACCCTCTTCAATAAACACTAAAAGTACAAATTTCATACCCTCTTTATCCTAATCTTTTTTGGGTAGCGGGCGTTGATTTTTTGGGGAAGCTTATCTGGAAAAGATCCGTCTCCATCGGTACCTGGCCATCTTATAGCCTTTAGAAATGCAGAAATAGCTTACATTTCCAAACAATCTGGAACCTGTCTACTCTAGCGCCTCAAAATGCAGATGGACCCTGCTTAAAACAAAAAATTGCGGGGCATACCTCAATGAACAGCGTCAGACTGAACTGTTCCTCACTCGCAATGTACTTTGGACTGTTGCTTGCTTGTGATGAGTCATATATCGACTTTCATGGACAGAGAAGAGCTGTCCTTCACGTATGATACTCTTCCAGTTGTTCACAGAGTGACCAAATTGTACGTGGAATGTTGATCGTGGAGAGGTGAATAAAATTTTGAATCAGAGGACGAAGTGTGACGTTGGAGCTGCCTAAGCCCAGGCACCAGGGTGACAGACGAACATGGGATAACGGTGACCTTATGAGTAGTACATTACAAATATGAACATGGGACAATTTTAGGGTAGACATGGAAATGTTCGCTGGCATGGCCGCTAACCGGTTTCAACTTAAGGCCCGGTGCACACTGGAGATTTCGATTGGGCCGCTTTTACAAACGACGAACAAACAGGTGAAACCCACAGCTGGAGTTAATTAAATCAATCATGCCAGGAAATTCAGGTTCCTGAAAGTAACCCCAGAATTTCCGAAACCTACTGAGACCCTTAAACCCCAACAAAATCACAATAGGGAAGCCTGAAAGCATCCAGTCCAGTCAGTCAATCGATTCAGCGAAAGCCGATGAGTGTTCATGCACACCACCGAATGCGATTAGCGTTCAGGCGTTTGATAGAGGCACGATCGATGTTGATAGGTGCTCACTACCGCCTATCAGACAGCCTGGATCAATGTCAGAAAGTCCCCTTTAAATAGCGCGGTGCAGTTGTGACTTTTTCTCTCGCTTGTTGCAATAAATCTGTTGTTTTGTTCTTTGTCGGGAAGTCATTTTCAGGCACTAGGCACTGGAGCGGGAACAAGAGTCAGACAAAACGAATTAGAAATCAAGAGTGTTGCTTTTAAGCCACATCTTCTGATGAAGTAGCTGTTCACTCGATAATATCCGAACCCCTGGAAAAAATCAATAATACAACGTGCGAATAAAAATTCTTGCAAGATTTTGGTAGCTTGTGACTATCTTTAGCTGATATTCAATCGAAAACAACTCCCAGTGATTGTCAATTTTTTGGTAGTGTTTGTAGTGGCCTCTGTTTAGTGCGGGTCGCTATGATCAAGGTTGAATTCAAATGCATTCTTCCCTCGAAGTATTAGCCACTGAGTAATTTTCCCCGATTAAAGCTAAGCTGATTTCAGTGACCCGATTGGTCATAGTTCCATTTTGTCAATGGCCAGCTCGTGTCATTCTTGACAGGGTCTGTGATCCAATGAGCCACAGTCAGGTAAAATACATGAGAGATTGCTTTGTGGGGCACTTTGAATAGTTAAACGCATTCTCCACGAAGCACTCGACTAACCAGTTTCCTTTTGTTCTGATCTTTTCCTAGAGATAAATTCCAGGTATGAACCTCCAAAACCTGTTAGCCAACCACACGCGGATGATTGGAGAAAACGACCCGGTTTGTAGAAAAGATCGATATATTGATTGGTTGTCGACGAAAGGTACAGTCTGTATGAAGTTCCAGTTGAAGTCGTACATTAATAAGTTGTGATAGCTTTACTGACCATCTGACCCGGTAAACGATCCGCTGGTTATTTTTCCCTCAACGAATCATAGCTTTCGCCATGAAAAGCCGTAGCTTCACAAACGAGTTGTGAGCTATGCGGAGAAGAAAACGCGGAACTAAAGTACACAAAAGCTATGTGAGGCAAAATCCTGGGCAACTGAGTTAGTGGAGCAGTGTTGTATCGTGGGTTCGAGCCCCATCCAGTTGCTCTGTTTCCCACTTGCATTATATGTGAATGAATTCATATGTGGCAGAATTTCCTAATTCGCAGTTAACGATGTAGATTCATCTTCAACTGGAACATTCCAGTGTTCGATTAAGCCGGTTGATGACACTGGAACTGAAGTTTGTACAGTAGGATTCAGGAGCTTTGGGATATTCAGTAGACTGATGCTTATCTGTCAACAATCAACCACATCGCTAATCTGACCGAGAGCTCAAGCTCAAGCTATCCTACAGCTGAATGAAGTTGGCCTAGGACGTGTTGACCTCAGTCTACCCCCTACCTTCTTGGGTTTTTACCTCTCAAGATTGTGATTCTTAGATAGTAACCCGGCACTTATCGAGAACAATCATACCGGTACGGGGAACCGTCGACTTCCCTCTCCCCCGCTTTATCGAATATCGCTATAAAACATATTTGGATTTCAAATAGCACTTTTTTCTGCCCGTTGTCGGTGAAATTTCCACTGAACTTTCATGTTCTCGTCAGTCCTGCCATCAGGGAACGAAATTCCCCGCGACGACGTACTTCGGTCACATAGTCCTTCAAATTTGAGGCGTAGTAAAGTGCGTAGAATTAGAGCGTGTGATTTCCCCCAGAGGAAATAAGGTTTTGATGAATACAACTCGGTATGGAACATCTTTCCACCGAAAGGGTGACGCGTACTTTTGGACCTGTCATTATTGTTTGTTTTCATTAGAAGGCCTGAAAACAAAGTATTCTGCCCAGGAGTTAAGCTCACTATGAACTTCGCATGATGTACTGTTGCTGTGTGGCACAAAATGCATTGGGATTAGTTGATGTCACAGGAGTCTTAGTTTAAGGACTAGGTTCTACTGGATATGAGCAACCCGTTTTTTTAAAATGAATTTATATGTCAGCGTTGTGCGCATTGTGTAGAGCTGGCTTAGTCAATAACTCGGCTGATCGAGCGGTGTAATCCGAATTAATTGTTTGCACAACCAGCATTACGGGATTTGGTCACTTACCGGGTGCGCATAGCAACTAAACTCGAAGGTCAGTAATATGCTACCCGAGTGCTAGCTACGCATATATATGTACAACCAGTCTAGCCAGCATATTGAGCTCCCAGCAATGCGTGCTTGTCAATAGGTCTTTAAAGATTTGACGGTTTCATCTTGAAGAGCGATTTCCTCTCGTTTTCCCTGTTAGGCTTTCCTAGGGTCAAATCCCTCCTCAATTCTAGTTCTGAGCGAGTTTCTGGGACCCCATATCTGAAAACTGAGCTTGGCCCAAATTGATCACACAAAGTTAACTTCATAGGGACTATCTTTGTGAGGACGTTGCGTGACTGACGCTCATCACTTTGCGACATCGCAACCCGAATATACAAGAAAAATGGACAAGCTGACAGTGAAAACTTGTCTCAGTGTCTGACTGCAGTTGTGATTCAGGTCAGGAATATGGGATGGAGGTATAGCGTACGGCGAGGGGGTAGGAAAGTTCTTCTAGTTAAATTTGCGAGTCCGTGAACAAGAAAATTCCAACAACCAGGATCTGGAGAGGAGAGCTGAGGAAATATTGCGAGTGTCTCTTGTAGACCGCCTTGTAAACTCCGCGAGAGATCAGCGGAAGCGAATGGACGCAACTGCTGATGTGGACAGTGGAGCTTCGATTTGAAAGACATTGGTTTTCAACAATGAAGTTGATTTGAGTTCTGAAAAGGGCAGTAATGGAATAGAAGGCGATCATTAAGTACTTTTGAATGGGAAGCGAGAACATCCATGAAAAAACGGGATAAAATTGGGGCAGCAGTTGCATTTTGTAGCATCGAGTCTTGAGGAATTCAAGGTCATATCGATCGAGTAGTATGCAATCCACAGATTCTGGTGCTTATCTACTCTCATAAAACTGGAGTTATACATTCAGAATGCAATCCTGATCGGACATGTTGTTTAAGTCGTTTGAAAAAACTTTCTGAGCTAGAATACTAAAAATATATTTGGTTTTAATCACATGATTTTGAAAAAACCTATATGATATATCTTGTAAAATGACTAAAGAACACCACTGACAACTACTCACTCATTTCGGAGTGCTGTACCGACAGTTGGAAGAATCGATATTTGATTCGCCGGAATCGCGTTGTCTTTGTTGATTCCTCCCTTTGGCCCGACGATTCTTAAACCATACTTGAACTCGTGACTCGGGAAGGCGCAATTTGAGTGCCAGTTCCTCCCGAACATACACATCCGGGTAGCGGGTCTTGGAAAAAAGTTCCTCCAGCATCAGTAGCTGGTGTCTTGTGAAAGTGGTCCTTTCACGTCGTTGTCTACGTATCTGTGAGCCTGTGGAATTCAAAAGAAATCTAGACTGATGTAAGTTACTTTGGGAGCTTTCAAACAAACGATCGATATTCAGTTCTGCAAACTTAGTTCTGTTCTAAAAGGAAAACTATCAACATCAAGATGGAAAGCTGATGGTCTTTCATTGCTTAGAGAACCACCCGATCCACCGATCTTTAAAAAGATAATCCTTCAGCTGTAACAGCCCAGCTGCCGTGCCGCCCGAGATAAGCTCGAGGACTAGGATACTTCTATGTTGCCCGAGCCTAGACAGGGGAAGTCCAGATGCGGAAGGGAGGTTCGAACCACGGACCTTCCGACCAGCAAACTCGGGCTCTAACTACTGAATGATTGACCATCGTTGTTCATCTCTGGGAGTGGTCTGTAAAGTGGACGCAGCGTGGACGAAGATCTTTCTCCTTCTGAGCTGATCGCTTTTAGATCGAAGTTACAATCGTATTAACCAGAACCCACCTACAAGATTATAGGGGCGCGAAGGATACGGTAGGTGAATCGAACTATCTAGCAGTCTTGCTGCTGTGTTTCCTTACAGTCGACCGGTTGATTAGTTTATCGAACGAAGAAATATCCAACACATACCCAATCTCGTCACAACACCGTCAGTCTAAGAAAAAGTGAAACGTCCTTTCGAAAAACCGTCACGTGACCACATGGTGTTGTTCCCGTGATCAAAGGATGAGTGGCGCTAGGTTCTGTCTTAATGAGAACTAATCACACTGCCGATCAGCTAGATTTGACCACATGATTGAGTGTTCAACCACTAGCCGAGAGGTTGCGGGTTCGATATTCTGCGTTTATCGAGATGCGCACTGCTGCAGATTCCCAACAGAGATGATACAGCTCTTCTCGGCTTTTCAGCACAAAGTGACTTCACAGACAGCACGAAATCTCTATTAAAAATGATCGAATCACACCACCAACATCTGGATTGGCTTTGTAATCTGTAGAGACAATCTTACGGACAGGTGATCGTATAAGTGTAGCGTTACAGCGGCATCACCCAGTGGCTGTTTCCATCATGTTTCGTTGGGTTCCAGTTCAAAATGGGTCGAACTCCAACTTTTATCCACCAACTCTACTTTCTGTCAGTAAGGCTGTGTGTGATAGGAATCGATACATGTGACTTTCTGCTCACGTTCACTATGCTAGTTGACTGATTGAGGGATTGAATAGAGGACTTCTCACGCCGTTTTGCGTAAGCGGCTGTCATCAACCGTGACACAGCACGTCTGTATAATTAACAGATGTGTTGTGAAAGGTGTGAACTGGCAAGTGTGCTGTCACTCCTCTGTCTACTACTATCGCCGACCCAGCCGCAGCGAAACAAGGTGTGCTGTTAGGGCTATGATTGCTGGCAGCTTGGTCGTGATGACCAAAGCATACGCCACCATGTCGGATTGAGTCCGGTCGCCATGACATCATCATTTTTGCAGGTGGACATGAAAGCGAATTCAGACATGGAGACGAAAGCTGCGTGCACTTTCTCCACAAGGTGACAATAATTAGACTAACAGGACAAAAATGTGTTTCGGCCGGCTCGGACCCGATACGCAAGACTTCAACCAGAACTAAGACAGACAGTTCAGATATCAAACCGCCTTGGTAGTAAGGCATTTGCTGATGAAGACAACGCCCACTGACGCAAACTCCAATCTTGTCTTAAAGCAGCGACATCTAAGAGCTTGTGTTGGTGGTTCGATGCCGCTACGGAGCGCTTTTACTTTGGCAGATTTTATAACTGCCCAGGAGGAGCAAACCGGGGAGATCTTTGTGATAGGTATGTTAGATGACTATCCTTAGACAACGAATTTTCGGCTTTGAGATCGGAATATTTTCGAACTGATCACTACTCAGACGGGAATTGAAATATTTTATGAGTCGCCGGGCACAATCGAATGTGGTCCGTTGCGGATGCTGATATGCTTCAGAGGGGGTGTCCATGTGGATATTGAGGCATACAGCATTCTATGCGGAATACTGGTCGAAAGTATGCCCAGAAATAAGCAAGCACACTGTTGTGAACCACAATTTTCTTAATGCCTTCTTAATAATGTGAACCCGAGTCTGAATGGCCGCTTGTGTTAGATAGACCGATTCGCTTAGCCAAACCAGAAAGCCACTGAACGTGCGAATCAGCTGATCGATCGATGGAACACTGACGCGTACAGGCGTGTCATGTGCAGCCGGCTGTTTATAAAGCTCACATGGAAAGTTCTAGGCGGGTCAAAAAGTGATTCTAAGACTACAACTCATCTGTCAAGGGTGAGTGAAGAACAATCAATGAAATTTGTCCCAACGAGAAACGGTTATTCCACTGGCAGTTATGCAGTTCAGTTACGTTCGGAGCCGGTTCTCCTGATACACAACAAATACAGTTGTTGACTTTGAAGCTCAACCACATGCTTATTTCGCACATTTTTTTTGGTTTCTTTACTTCATCTATTGGGTAGTCAGTACTAACTTGCCCACTATTAATGTAAGTCCCATGACAACGAAACCACGGCAGAAATCAAATTGCCGTACACGAACAACGCTCACTCTGTTGTACAGTAAGATGGCGTGACTACACACACACACACAAAACGACATACCACTATTCGTATTTGAATCATGAACGGAAGCAGCGGCCGTGGCCATCAGTAAGTCGTTGGAATGTCCGAGAATTCCATAGGAGCCTGGGTCGAATGAGACCATCTGTCGACGTGACGGATGATTGCTGGAAAACGGGGCGTGCTTTGGTGTTCCACCGGCAGTTCGTGCTACAACCGCAGCTGCAGCCATAAATGCAGCCATTCTGTCGTCTGGCAGTGGCCTCTCTGCTATTCCCCCAGATCCAACACACTGGTAGTCCATACGCGTGGCTGTTCTTGCTCCAGATCCGGGATTGGAGAAATTCGGGGAAAGACAAACAGAATTCGGATGGGATTGCGTATTGGTTCGAATGGGGTTCACGGGTAAGTTGGCATACTGATTGCACGTGACCGAATAATCCTCGATTCCGTTGGTACGGTACAAATCCGTGGTAAATGGTTTGTACTCATTCACAGGTGGATTGGTCGGAACAGGAGGATGAGTGAAACTCCGAGGTATGGGGTAGCCCCGTTCATTGCGGAAATTGAACAATGATTGGTGTTCATATGGATGTGTCGTGAGAGCACCATGAGTGAGGATTTCCTCATGACTGGGGAAGAGTTTTTCCGACTGAACCGAGTCCATCCCGAAGTAATATGGATTACTTGGTGCTGTATCGTAATGCCTAGCTTCTGTCAAAAACGGATGCCTAAATCCCAAATTATGGCAATGAGTGTCTGTCGCTCTCTGTTCGGAAGAAGAGCCACACAAATGTGGTTCCACCTTTGTTTGGACACTACTCATCAGATTTGAGTAGGAGGCTGCTGGTTCTAGCTGGAAGCCATGCGAATTTGAATAAAATTCGGTTAGATTAGCCATCCTTGAGTCCGTACTTTGTACTTCCGTACCTGTCTGATAATTAATTGCATTCCACAGGGTTGGTTCTCGTGGGGTGCTACTGTTCGCGTGCGTGATTGTCGGAAAGAAGTTTGCCGTAAGAGATAAAGCAATCCGATAGGCCGGTTGAATGGAAGCATTCGAGTTGTCCAAATGAGTACCACTCATATCCATCTGTTCACCTTCACCAGATAGCGGGGAAATGGGTGGTACGATGGAAACCATGCTAGTGGTGGACGAGTGCAGTTCGGGTGTGTGTGAGGTTGGTGCGGTGGAACATGACGTTGTGATATTTGTTTGCTCAACATTACGCTTGTTTTTCCCGGAAACCGATTCATGCTGCAGCATGTTAAGTGCCTCCCACCGCTTCACTAGTTCGGACTCGGGGGCCTCGTCAGTGCAGTCCTGCTGCTGGATGTCCGGAAAAGTTTGACCAAAATTTGTGTCCACCACAGAGGACCTGTGGGGTTCTGTGTTTGCATTTTCCGGAGAGTACGGCTCTGCACCATCAGGTTCGTCGGACTTCAGCTGAGGGAACAGCTGGTTTCGACATTCGGCCAGGAGAAAATTTTCCCCGCTCGGATAGTTGCGAGGGTTTTCTATCGATGTGTCGAAAGACACATGTCCGCTTGAAATAGGTACCCGTGTACTTGGCTGAACAGGACAAGGAAGAAACACAGTGTACCAATCAATGAGTAACGAGGTCCCCGGACTTCTGATATGATGTTTATTTAGTCCCTTGACCGCTCTTTTAATGGGCCTGCTCAGTTTCATTGGTTATGAACCCCCCCCCCCGCCAAATCGATAAAACTACTCGAGGACCGGTCGGTCTAGTTCAACCTACACCCTAAGTTTGCAGTAAATCGCTCGATGAGACCGAAGGGATACCTAAACTGTGGTGCGGAAAACGGACAACTGTGTACAAATGAGGAATAATGACACAATCGTACAGTTGCTGGAAAAGATACCTCACTGATTGGTCTCATAAACTACTTCCTTGAAGTACTTATACAATCTTGCCAATTCAGTCAGCCCGGTCAATAGGGTGAAATGAAATGTATATCTTTGTAATGTACTACTCATTAGGTTGCTGAAAATTCATCGAGAGCCCACGACCGGTTTTGTCTTTCTACTTCGGGCTCATCAGGTAGGCGCAGTCCTCGGGTTTCCATCAACCTTATGTTCTACTTGAAACCTATATCACAAAAAAATCTACATCACAAACGAGAGATTCAGCTGGGTTCCAGGTGAGTTTCTCGAAATGAGTGTATATTCGCTGATTCCGTGCAATTTGGTTTCAAGTAGAACATAAGGTTGACGGAAACCCGGGGACTGTGCATACCTGATGAAACCCAAAAAGGGCGAAACCGGTCGCGGGCTGCCGGCGGATTTTCAACAACCTTATGAGTAGTACATTACAACTATATACATGTATCGCGATATTTCAAATATCGTGGCGACTGAAACATGAAGTGGTTTGGTGCAGCACATTCAGTTGCCTGAGAACATCATAAACGAGAGATTCAGCTGGGCTCCAGGTGAGTCTCTCAAAAAACCAAATTACTTTGCAAATGAGCGTATATTCGCAGAAATGAAATGTCTTTTGTGAGCTCCACTAGACCAGTATAGACCATGCTTCTGGCAGTACTTTGTTTTCCAACGTCGCTTCAGTGTTCAACAACGTTTTGGTGATGACGTTGACCACCCCGCAGTCAGATTGAATTGGAAAGCTGGACTTGGCAAACACACGTTCAATTGCCAATTCATTCCACTCTTGAATGGAATGCCGTAGAGACTCATTCAAGACAACTGAAACACCCCTAAAGTTTCTGAGGTACAACTGCTATAAATATCAGCCCAAAGCCGACGTAAACTACTAAAGTGCCTACCTGATGAGCCCGAAGTGGAAGGACGAAACCGGTCGTGGACTGTCGAAGAATTTTCAGCAACCTTATGAGTAGTGCTGACAAAAAGATTCTCGTATAAAAAGCAGACAGGTCGCTTTCATGGTTTCGGTTTGCGTACTTGATGAACCCTCTTATGAATACAGAAGTTGTTCCATTTCCTAATGAAAACAGGGACCCGAAAAGTAGTTTTGGCCTCTGGTGGAAAGCCGCTCACAAGCGTCATTTAGTTTGAACGAAATTTGTACATTATCGCTGACCTGAGTACGAAAACGCACATGTCGTATCTAATTTCGGCTGTTCATTGATCGAGGAGTCAAATCCTCACCCGGCTAGTGAAAAACCTTGACCTGAGAGAAAGTGAATTTGTTTGAAGAGAAACTCCTCACCCAGTGCGCGGTCTCCATGATTAGTTGTCCACAGAGCATATTTTACCGGCCACTTGTCACCTGAACTGGCACTTATAAATCGATTGATCAGAATTCATTGCGGGTAAAATTCTTCGGACGACCTTAATCGTCAGCTCATAAGGGGTCCTAAAATGTCTCTGGATGAAGAATCCCTAGTGATAAGTACCCTACTGATGGAATTCTCCACAGTTCCTTTTGTATGGATTTGTCCGAACTCATGGTACTCTGAACGGCAGGTGGAACCAAGCTGGTGAACCACTCACTCGAACAACGTGATTCTATGCATCTGAGGGCCTAGCATTAGCACACTCACAGCAAGTAGTGCGAGCCCCAAGAAGGGTAAAACAGGTCGTGGACTGTCGAATAATTTTCAGCAACCTTATCAGTAGTGTATTACATCTAAACATTGCTTTTATTTGTAAACAACTCGTTATGTGATTGTCGCAGTCCAGGATGCGTAAATCTGCGCATCCTTGGCCGAGTTAAAATTAACTGAAATCGCGTTGATCACCCTCAGGAGGAGAGATCAGTGACGGTCAGTTCGCTGAATATCCCCCCCCTAGGGAACAAGTCCATCTTCCTCTACAAGTTGCCGCTTCACAAAAGCTCATTAAACACAAAAAGTCGACAAAAAGTGCTAGACCTTTAGTCTTTCTCACCTTGATGTCATAAATCCCGTCTGGGTTGCCAATCAAAACGTTAGTTTGTGTGCAATGTATCAGGGAACTCGGGCTCGCGGTCCTACCGGTTCCACATTTATCCCCCATTTCGTTTGCCTTCAGAATGTCATGCCTGGTTTCATCTGCATCCATAGAACAGCGGTGAAGAACACTGTTAGACGACAACACACTGCTTGTGCGCAAGTCAGATGAGTGAACTCCCGGTGTTCGGAGAGACGGTGCCTCGTCTGTGGATGAACAGGATCCCGAGGAGGTTGTCGAAGTCCTGTTGTGCATATATTCGGTGGAATGCGCGCTCAGCTCAGTCGGGAGCAGATCCGTCTCCCGTTGTTCGCAGTCGGCCGCTGTACCGTACAGATGTGACTCATTCATGTAGCCGGAAGTTGCGTAAAATTCTTTGTTGTTGTACGAGTGTATTGTCGAATCGTACTGACTGCAAGTCATGATACTTGGATAAGGTAAGGAAAGTGCAGACGAAGAGTCGATTGAGACGAATCGTGAAGTTGGCAGCTCCATTTTATACTGTCCAATTAAGAAGAAAATAGGTTCGGTTATTTCCGGAAATCTACTTCTTGAAAGAAAAGATTCAATTATAGAGTGTTCGTAGACTGGGTGTTACCGTACGGGACCATGGTAGGGTGACAAACAGCTAGGACCACTTTCTAGAATGAGTCACCGTAGCACTCACGTAGGTCAAACACAAAAGAAAGTGCCTCCATATTCGGAGAAGAATAACTCTTACTTGGAAAGACTTTTAGGACATGCTTTGTGATGAAATGATTGGTTCTTTGCTCACATCACCCACTCCTCTTCATGATAAGAAGAGAACTCTATTTCCAGAGGAAGTACAGCCCAGTCTTTCGATCCTCCCGTCCATCTGTACAGGGCATGGTTACCTCAGAAGTGAAGATGGCAGTTATCCGCAGCAAACTTATAAGCGTCATGGGGATATCGCACCAACCCCGTCATCTGATTGTTTAATCTGCTAGTTGCTATTCGGCGGAGAGGAGATGTCCGAATAACTGGATCGACTGTTAACTTGCACTCACGTAACCGTGGGAGACTCACCTGGCACCCAGGTGAATCTCTCTTAAAAACATCTTGAACGAGAGATTCAACTGGTGAGTTCCAGGTGAGTCTCTCGAAAAACCAAATTAGTTTGCAAACCAGTGCATTTCGCTAGTTTCGTACAATTTGGTTTCAAGTAGAACATAAGGTTGACGGAAACTTGGGGACTGTGCCTACCCGATGAGCCCGGATTGAAAGGGCGAAACCTGTTGTGGGCTGTCGCAGAATTTTCAGCGACCTTATGACTAGTTTATTACGTCTACAGCTGTTTGCCTGTTTGCAACACAGGACTTGAATAACGCCGTATGTTGGTGAGGATGGACATACCTTCGTAGTACATTGCTTGATGTAAGTTGTGATAGTCATACCACATATGCACCGACGTTTTAAAGTTTACGGACCGAACAGTGTGTCATAGCCACGCCGGTCAGATCATACTGGCTTGTTTGGTTCTCCCTAACATACGACAAGGTGGTGGAGAAACTCAACTGTGCACTTTCGACAACCTACTACTTACTACCTGTTGGTCCCGGTGAAAATGTTGTGCATTCGTATTCCTCATTGAAAGGAAAAATAAGTGGCCGCGTGATGTATCGATTGTTAGAAGCCCTCGTTTCCCCCTAGCAAGTCTTCCTGTTTTGCAAATATCTTTCAATAGTTCGTCCTGAAGACCGTCAGTTAATTCACCACGCTTTGTCAAATTTTGAAAGAATACCCAACACGATGAAGGATTCACAAATCCCAGTAACGACGCTTTCGGTCTTTTGGGAGGAACACGCACCACTGGGTGGTTGTGCCATGACGCATTTGCCCTGTATTTGCCTGTATTTATCTAGTACAGGACAGTATTTCAGGGCCAAACTGCCGTCATCCTCGGTTCACATGGACCCTGTAACCCTGCAAGCAAGCGACGAAGAAGACTAGCGTTGGTGTACGTGCACCGCATCCGTGCTACAGACGGCGGCCATGCAACTGTGTCTATCTGTACCTATCTAAGGACCCCAACGCCACGGAAATTACCGCTTTCAACGACACTTCCAATGTTCCAGATCGTCTGTTTCCATATTGCTATTTGTCCGCTAATCTAACAGAACAGTCCCAAATATTGAAAATGGTAGCACTGCTTTTCTGTGACCTCATGGCACAACTGTGAAAAAAAGGATTTGTCTCGCGTGGATGGACGCTTACGTACCACTGACTTGTTGGTATTACGTGTTTTAACATTTTTGCCAAGGTGTGCCAAGCTGGTGAGCTTCATTCAGACAACCGCGAGTTGCAAGATGGCCTGCGAAGCATGTAAAATCTACAGGTATATAGGTTTTGTACAATTATTCATCCTGGTTTTACTGATAAATTGCCACTAATGTGTGTACTCATTTGTATGCTTGTGCCGAGCATCATACTTCGGTCGTAGGACAACGCATTTGTTGGACAGAATACGAGAACACAATCCCGTATCTCTGAGTAGTAGTGGAAAGAAACCAGGCTCAAGCGCGATTGCAGCACACTTGGCCGAAACCTGTCATATCATAGACAAGGAGCAAGCCTTCACCATCATTTACCGG